AAGACCTCTGACAAACTCGAATGGGGTTCACCGTGCCCCGCTCGGACGTCAAATCCGCGAGCAACCTGCCTTGCCCGTCGCGCCTGATCAACTCTAAAACTACGTCGTCAATGGGCTTTGACACCAGTGCCAACACCACAACAAAAGCCTTTTTCTCATTGTCGTTTATATACTCGTTGTTCACTCGCTTGATCTTGCGACCCAGCTGGGCCGCGAAGCTCTCCTGGCCAATATCTACATCTGGAGCGGCAGCAGCGGCCCTGGCGGCGGCCCGACCCTCAGCCCCGAATGCTAAACACCACGCCCGCTCGAAGATGTGGTGCGGCATCAGCGCCATTCCCATCCACGTGCAGAAGGGGCCCAGTACTGTCCACCTCAACTCCCCTCCCAGCACGCGCTCGCGCGCGTCGGTTTGCAAGGCAGGCCGAGGGCCGAGGAGTGATGCGCGCTTGCGTGCATGCATGTAAACATATGTGCATGCCATATACACTGGCTGACATAGCAAATCATGACCGTCACCGAGAGCGGGGGGCGGGGGCGACGCTCCGAGACTTCGAAAGCAGAGAGAAAGAGAACCGAGGCACACCGCGCGAGAGTGAATGACCCCGCTGCCCCCTGCCCGCCTGCTGAAAGCAACCGAAGCCGGCATCATGTTACACATGAGCCAAAATAATAATTCCACCAGGCATGACGCGGCTCGCGGCCTCGTGCGCCCGCACTTGCACCCGGGCACGCAAAAGTGGGTCAGCGCGTTCTCGTGCCACGGCGCCTGCGGGACAGCGAGGAGAGGGCAGTGGGCGGCGAAGAGGGGGGGGCTGATCGGAAGGGCGTGGCGAAGCTGGGCTCGGGGCGCGATGCAAATGAGGGTAAGAGGCGGGCGAACCGCGACGACGAGGCAGCCCCTGAGAATGCCTGGAAGGGCGAGGCATGCAACGGCACATGGGTCGCGCCATGGGGGGGGGGGCAGAGCCAAGAGGGGGGGCAGGCCGAGCAAAAGTTGAACGTTGAAAAAGCATGCGAGGATGCGAAGGAGGAGAGGGTGAGGCACTGTGAGGCAGGCAAGGAATAAGCAAGTTTAAGCAAGGCATGAAAGACAAGAGATCGAACAACCAGGCAGGCGCGTGCAAGCAAAACGAGGCGCCTGGAGCAACTGAAACAACATGTCGGCCTTCTCCGCGACGTTCGCCTCCTGCGCGCCCTCGAGCGGGGAGCCGAACTCGCGTCGGAGAGCCCGGTCGACGAGCAACGAGTCGATCACGAGGCGATCCCGCACCCTGTGGGCGGCGGCGGCCGGCGGGGGCGGAACGCCGTCACGAAATGCGAGGCCGTCGAAGCCGTGGCCGCCAACAACCACCGTCGCGAGCGCTCGACGGAATTGATCCTGCCGGCTCGAAATGCGGAAGACCGATCCTAGACAATTGAGGTCCTTGAGCACCTGGTGCCGCTCAAGAATGACGATGACGGCGCGAAACAACTGGTGCACCATGCATTTGACACCAGCATGCATGACGTGGCCTGGGAGGCGCGAACCGATCCATCTGATGCACTTCAAGTTCGGCGACGCGCTGTCACTGCACTCTATCAGCAAGATCAAATCCTCCACTGCCCTCCGAGCCCGCTGTCCACCGATCCCCCACCCATGACCCGCTCTCCATCCTTCCCCTCCTCAACTCCCTCCCTCGCCGTTTCTGGACCGCCCTCTGCGGCGCGGCTTCGAGCATTTCGAGCCGCGCCCGGCCGCGGCGACGGGGGGCCCCCGAAGGCCACCATGCGAGGAATGAGGACGAGGACGATGCGGAGGAGGATGGAGACGGAGGAGGGAGAGAGATGAGGAGCGAGGATGGGCGTGGGGGCAGGGGGATGGGGGGAGGAGGAGGCTCACCTGCACGCGCCCCCTTTCCCCAACGTCCTTGGCGATAGTATTCATCCTCTCGATGCTGTAGGCGCCGTCCAGGGCCGAGTCCAGCGCCGCCTGGATGTGGCCCGCCGTCTTGCCGAGCATCGCCCGGGGCGGGACGTTCTCGATGAAGCTGATACCTCCCATCCAACGCAATGCAACGCACTACCATACCTTCCTCCGCCCCTCCCTCCCGCTGACACCGACGACGAGGCATCGCGCCAACTTCGCGGCCGTCGCCAGTCGTCGATTGTCGCCGCCGCCGCCGTCGCCGTCGTCGTCGTCACCGCCGTGGCCGAATCACTGACCCACCCCCAGCGGCCACCCCTCCCCTGCCCACCGCGTCCGAGATCAACGGCGATCTGCTGGGCGAAGATGTCCATGACCCCGTGCTGCGCGCCCTTCATGCCGTACTGCAGCAGCTCCTGATACGTCACGAGGGCCTTTCCTGCAACGAGATGCCTCTGATCGCGAGGCACGACATAGCGAACGAAGGGCTGGAGGGCTTCCGCGAGGTGCCCGAAACTAAGATGAACAGGCGTGTCATCGAAACTCCTCTCAACGTACATGAACGAACAACCGGCCGCCTCATCAAACTTCCTCTTCACTGCAGCGCGCTGGAGCGCCAGGGCAGCGTGGCAGACGGCGCCGACCGCCGAGATAAACTGCCCGCCCAAGCACTCCCCAACACGCTTAGAAAACGCAAGTTTCAAAACATTGTGGAGGTCATACTGGGATTTGTGGATGACCCTCGTGAGCACATGATCGCCGCTGGAGAGCTGGGTTGAATTCCAAGCACTATGGGCAACATCCTTCTCCCTGTCCGACGCCTGCTTCGCCAGCTCAGCTGCTTTTAAGGCCTTCAAGGCCCGAGCTCGTTTCAAAACCTCCTCTCGTCGAAGGATCCGTTCTAATCGAACCGCGGGGCGGCGGGGCTCTGGAGGCGGCCGCGGGGCTGTGGGGGCGTCAGCGGCCCTGGCGGCGCCGCCATCTCCAGTGGAATCTCCAGAACCATCAATTATATCCAACAAATCCATCCATGGGGGGGTGGCGGCTGGCGGCGCCGCGAGGCCGCGAGGGACCATGCACTCAGCGAGGCCAGAGCCGAGAACGACAGCGGATGACAGAATGGTCGAGGGTTGAGGGCTCAGGGCCTGACCAGGGAGTCCCAGAGAGAAAGGCCAACGCAATGCAAATAATGCATTCGCGCAACGTGCAGCGCAAAGCAACGCATTAAGTCTCAGTCTCGGCCCCAACCCCCCCAACCCAAACTTAAAATGCACGCGCAATGCAACGCAATGAGGGCAGCGCTAATGCAATTCAGCGAGCTCTCTCGTGCACAAGGCAGTGCATTGCAATTCAATGAACGGACGGGCAACATAGACCCTCGGCTCGTGAGTCTGCCTCCCGGCCCCTTCGGGCCTTCGGAGCGTGAGCGAACGAGGGGGCCACCGACGAAAACGAGGCGAGGGCGACGGTGACGACAAACGAGGGGGCCAACGACGGACGACGACGGCGACGACGGACGACTCCAGGGGCGATGACGACTACGGGCGACGAAGGGCGACAACGAGGACACGACAACCGCGGACGACGATGACGAATGATTCGTTCCGTCCGAACGGTGACGACGACGGATCCGCCGAGCCTCGGCCCTCGGCGGTTGAGTTTGCATCCCGGCCCCTTGGAACCTTCGGCGTGTGAGATTGTAAGTCCTGTGGACTGTGGAGCCCTCGGCGCGTGAGTCTGCCTCCCGGCCCTCTGGAGCCCTCGGCGCGTGAGTCTGCCTCCCGGCCCTCTGGAGCCCTCGGCGCGTGAGTCTGCCTCCCGGCCCTCTGGAGCCCTCGGCGCGCGAGGCTCGAGGACGACGACGACGACGACGACGACGACGACACCAGAAACGACGAGGACGACGACGACCACGACGACGAGGACAACGGACGACCGCGACGACAACGGGCGACGATAACGACGAGGACGAACGAAACGGAGAAACGCAAAAGTTGAAAAAGAACGGGACGTGCGAGTGGAAAACGAACGGCCCACGAAAAGATGAAATGTTGTAGGGGGCGTTTCTGCCATCTTGTTTATTAATGGAGATGACAGAAACGCCCCCTACAACGCCATGCTGGGACAAACCGAACCCCAACAAATAACCCAACGTGTGCGCAAAAACCGAACTCAGACAGAATCACGATTTCAAAAAATTAACGATGTCAGCAATTGCCACCGACAAGCAACGACGACGAGGACAACGCAGCCGACGATGACCGACGACGATGGACGACGAACACGATATCATATAGCAGCGACGACGATCACGGCGACGGACGACCACGACGACGAACACGACGACGACGTCGACCACGACCACGACCCTTGTGTCATTATCACAGGACATATGCTGTATACATGATAGAGAACCAGACTTACCACGGTACATTATCACAAGACATATGCCGTATCACAGTATATATATACACAAAATGAAGAACTATATATACATAACATACAACACACATCACGCACGCACTGCCCATCTGCCCTTGCACTGCTACCCCGTCCCCTTATTGTTCTCCTCCGTGTCCCCGTCCCCTCCCCCACTCCCCCTCCTCCTTCCCCCCCCCCCTCCCCCATCCCCCTCCCCCCCTCCCCTCCCCACTCCCCTCCCCCATCTCCCATCCCCCACTCCCACCCTAGTGCCCCCTGTCCCCCCCCCTTTCCCCCTCTCTCCCCCTCCCCCCCCGTCCTCTGTGGACTCATGCCCCCGAGTACAGAGACCCCTCGTTTGCAACTCTTGCGGCGGCTTCAAGGCGGAAATCCACAGAAGTAGGGAGGAAACAGCAACAGAAAAGTAGGGCGGAAATGGCATCAGCGGGGCTTGAAAAATAAGGCGGAAATTCCAAGCCCTACTTACGAATTTCCCAAAAGTAGGGCGGATCCGGAGTCAGGGTGTCCCCGGGGCCGGCTTCTCATCCTGAGCCGCTTCTTGCCGGCCCCGAGGCCTGGCGGGGGCCCCCCCGAGGCCGAAAGCGGCCCCCAGAACCTCCCGCCCTGCTTTTGTTATGCAGCGCGGCCTGTTCTTTGCTGCCCCTGGCGCGTCCTTCCAGCCGGTCGGCCAGCCGGCCGGGTAGTCCGTCCGCAGCAGCCAGACATACACCAGAGCTATCTTGTTCCTGCCGGGCGGCGCGCGCGCCCCCCGGGAAGCGGGGGGAGGAGGCGGCCGCCGCCGCTCCGCGGCCGCGCCGGCGCCCAGGCTGCTACAGCTCACTGCTTGGGGCCCCACGCTCCCAGACCCCCTCGAGTCATGAAAAAAACACGACGCTGGGTTTTCGATATTTTCGGCCTCCGGGGGCCCTTACCGGCCCTCAGGACCGTTAAAAAACGGCACAGGATGAAAAGCCTGTCCCGGGGAATGGGTCCGGACCTCTGGGGGTCACGTCATGAAAAAATCATGACGTCGGGGGTCTGGGCTTGAGGGGCAACGATAGGGGGGCACGGGCACAGGGGGGCTGCGTCGACCTGGAATCGGCGATGCGTCGTCGATAGATCGGCGAGATGGGCCTCCGACGGTGAATCGGCACCTTCCTGGGCGGGGGGCGGGCTTTCGGGCCCCCATCGGCGATCCAGGGGCGAGTGGGGGTCGATGCCCCCGAACGATGACTACGACGTGGGAGTTGTTCCACTGCCTGCGCGGTGAACCCCGTGGCGCCCAGCGGGCGACCTCCCCGGACCCGAACCACTCGTGTCCGCATACCGCGCATCGACCCGCCCATGCAGCCGTCACCGCCGCCCTGGCCGTCGCCGCCGCCGCCGCCATTTTTATTTTTTCCACCACTGCGGACAGCTGTCCGAGCCTGCTCGAGACCTGGTGGAGGAGGCCGTAGCCTCTTCAAACCTGTACGTATGGACTACACGCGATCCTGCATGTGGACAGCGATAATGCATATGGATCGCCGCAACCGCCATGGCCATCGTCGCCGCGGCTGGCGTCGGCACCTTCTCAGACCGGCCCCCGAAGGCGACGCACAGGCTTGCCGTCGCTCGGACGCCCATGTCCCGTGCATGGTTCGGTTCCGTGCGTGTCTTTTTTTTTGCTCGATGGTCCGGGAGGGCCCTCGATGGCTCTCGCCGAGAAAAAACGAATACACGTCCGAGCGATGCCGAGCAGGAGGCCCTGCCGTCTGCCCCCGGGCGACCCTCCGCGCCCCGCCGCCGCGCTTTCCGGGGCCCCCACGCCCCACGCCTCGATGGTCCTCGCCAGAGGAAAACGTGCACACGCCCGAGCGGTGCCGAGCCGGAGGCCCCGCCGTCTCTCCCCGGGCGACCCCTCCACGCCCCGCCGCCGCGCCTCCTGGGCCCCCCCGCCCCAGAGCACCCGCGCCCTGGCACGCCCGGCCCCGCTCGGGGCGCCCTCGCCCTGCCAGCCTCTCCAGCCACCGCTCGCCGCGCTGCCCGCCAGGAGAGAGCAGGAGGAGGACGAGGAGGGCAAGGACGAGGGGGGAGGGGGAGAAGGGAGAGACTTTTGTTGTTGATTCGCGGGTCGAGAGCGCACCTCTTCCGGTCGAAGCTAAGCGGGTCGGCTAAGCGAGAGAGAGAGAGCGAGAAGGAGAGGCAATCTAGGCGCGCTCGCGCCAGATCTGGCATCCTACCCCTCCCAGCCATCCCTTCCCATTGCGTTGATGTGTCTCTATCCGCGGACCGGTCATATAGCGGCCCGCAAGTCTGAGAAAGGCCCAACCGTGCCATGAGCAATCGGAAAAGGGGGACTGCGACCATAGGAGGAAAAAGAAAAGGAGGAACAGGAGGAGGAGGAGGCGGAGGACGAGGAGAAAGAAAAGGAGGAGGAGCTGGCGGAAGAGCGAATGAGCAGTACGATGAGCAAGACTTGGCATAGGAGGACGAAGACGAACAGCAGCAGCAGCAGGAACTGGCCTGGAAGGAGCGGGAGGAACAGGAAGACCACTGGAAAGCGGGAGGGGGCAGGGCGTCGATGGGCGCGCTCTCCATCACCGCCGCCACGCGGGAGGATTGCGAGCCTCGGCCTCCACTCCAGGGCCCCAGCTGCGCGAGAGGCTCAGCGCCGCCAGGGCGGCGTTCCACAGCACAGGGGGAGATTCTGGCATTCAGATGCGGGTCTGTCCATGAAACGAACGTTAGCGAGGGGGCGCTTGGTCAGCGCCGCGTTGGGAAATGAGCGGGGCGACACCGACACTGAGAAACTCTCTGATTTGGACGCGTGGCCCGCGCTGGAGCGAAGGCACCAATGCGGAACGACGGGAACCGAGCCCCGATCTCCACAGGAGGCCCGCGCTGCAGCGGGAGCACCGTTTTGCGAGGACCGAGCGGATCGAGCTGGAACAGACCAGCTCGGACCCGTCGTGCGAGCGAAGAGGAGAATGACGCGCGGAGGGGGGCGCGCGGCGCACGGTTTTCGGAGGAGAGAGGAGAGCAGCATTCATTGTGGAATGGTGGAAGAGACTGAGGGGGGGGGGGTCGAGCCGCGAGGGCGCCAGCGTCCTGATGACCACCTCCTCCTGCCGCGAGGGCGCGACGTCTCTGAGCCAGGCCAGCACCTCCCGGCGGCAAGCGGGGATGGGGCAGCATCATGGCGTCGCGTCTTGGCCTCCACGGGCAGCCTGAGAGAGAGCAAGCAGAGAAAACCACGCGCCCCAGGGTCGCCCCCCAAACGGCGGGCGCCTGTGACCGCGATGACCCTATGGCGTGGTGTCTCATGTATACAATGGAACAGGTTTGTCACTATATGCATATATGTGCATACACACAGACATGCATACAAATATGCACACAAGCATACGTGCATGCATGCATGCATACATACATGCATACATACATACGTTCATACGTACATGCATGCATACATACATGCATACATACATGCAAATACACATACATACATACATACATACATGCATACATACATACATACATACATACATACATACATACATACATGCATACATACATACATACATACATACATACATACATACATACATACATACATACATACGTACATGCATACATACATACATACATACATACAGACAGACAGACAGACAGACAGACATGCATGCATACATGCATGCATGCATGCATACATACATATACATAGGTCAACGTATACTTATGCCTATGACGGGGTGTGTATGTATGTATGTATACATGCATAGCTGTACATGTATAGATGTATATATATAGATGTATAGACATGTGTATATATATGTGTGTATAGATATATGCGTGTGCCTGTATGTATATAATGTATGTAAATACTAGAACCATGGGCTTAGGTTCTAGTCACAACTGCGACACGGATGCCTTCGTTACCACCGCCACTCGCTACCCCTACCTCCGCCATGCCCTCCGTGCCACGACCACACTTACCAACGCTCACATCGCCATGATCAGCGAGACGAACCTCGCGAGTCAACTTTAGGGCACGATGACGACTGCCGCTGCTGCCAACGGCATGCGTACGCATGCATGTAATTCCGCATGCGCGGCTGGGGTGCCTTTAAGTGCAGTCCGCTTTGGTGCCTGCATTGGGTGTCGAAGACATCTTGGATGTTCGTTGACGCATCGTGGACGGTCTCCTTCTCCTCCTCCTCCTCCTCCTCCTCCTCCTCCTGCCCCTCCTCCTCCTCTTCATATTATCATTGATATTCGTATTAGTCGTCAATGTTTCCATTTTATTCTGAGCATTCGTTCTAGTGTTCTTGATAGTAAGCTTATTCGAGTCCGTCTTCTTAGTATTCGTATGATTCGTCTTCTTTGCATCTTGTTTAGCATTTTCTTATCATTAAAACTATCAACCGGCTTCTTCTAATCCCACCAGCCCTCTGGGCGTAGGTGGTCTAGAGCAGATCCTCTTCCACCCCTCCCTCTTCCCCCTTGGGGAGGGGTTTACCCCTCCCCCTACCCCCTCCCCTGGACCTGGACGGGGGGGGCCGCGGGTAGTTAGAGCGTCCCAGATGGCCCAAGACGGCTCCAAGAGCGCCTCAGAGAACCCAAGATGAGCTCCAAGATGGCTCAAGATAGCGCAAGATCGCTCGAGATGGCTCCTAAGATGGTTCCAAGAAGCCCAAAGACGGCCCCAAGATAACTCCAAGTGGCCAAACAGCTCCCCAAGGAGGCCCCGAAGAGGCCAAAATCGTCCCAAAACCTAAGGAAAATCAATGATTTTTGCTTTCTCGCCTTTTCGCTTCCGATGGCCATCCGAGGCCTGGAGATGGTTCCAAGATGGCCCAAGAGGGCCCCAAGAGAGCCCCAAAAGAGCCCCAAGACGGCCCCAAGAGCGCCCAAGAGCACTCCAAGAGCGTTCCAAGAGGGGTCCAAGAGGCGATTTTAGGGGCTTCCGAGGGGGGGCGCTAATTAAACCCCCCCTCTTGTTTGATCGATCTCCTCCAAGATGGCCCCAAGAAGCGCCCAGGAAGCCCCAAGAGGTCCCAAGATGGCCCCAAAATGGCCCCAAGAGGCCCCCAAGAGGCCCCCCGGAGGCCCCCAAGAGACCCCCAAGAGGCCCCAAGAGCCCCCCCAGATGCACCCAAGATGCTCCAAGAGGCCTCGGCGAGAATGCCTAATCATTGATTCTACACAGGTTTTAGCCACATGGAGGCCTCTTGGGGGGGGGCACGGATTAAGATGACTCCAAGAGCGTCTGGGAGAGCCCAAAATGACCTCCAAGATGGCTCAAGATATCCCAAGATGTCTCATAATGGCTTCCTCTGTGTGCTGCCCACTTCTCTGATCGAGGCAATTCCTCTGGGCATCGTTTCTGGATGGGCTGGTGGGGATTCGCGAAGCGACAACAATTGCTCTGATTGTTATGCGGGTGTCCCGCATGGTTGCCCGTATGGTCTCCGGTATGGTCTCCCGCAGGATTCCCGCATGACCTCCCACAGAATCTCCCGTATAGTATGGCCTGCTGCTCGCTCCCCGGCCTGTTCTCCCGAATGGTCTCCCAACCGGTCTCCCGCAGGGCCTCCCGTGGTCTTCCGTGTGGCCTCCCGCACGCTCCCCAAACCCCCGACGTCATGATTTTGTTCATGTTGGGCGTTGCTTAATGGGGGGGTCACAAATGGGGGGGTCAGAAAAGGTCCCCTTTCGTGCCCCTTTCGGGCCCCTCCAGAGCCCCAGGGGGCTCGTTTAGGTACCGTTTGGGTACCTTTTCGGACCACCCTCGCCACCCCCCCATTTATGACCCCCCCATTACGCAACGCCCAATCATGACGCGACCCCCAGGGGTCCGGACCCATTCCCCGGGACCGGCTTTTCATCCTGAGTCGTTTTTTGACGGTCCTGAGGGCCGATGAGGGTCCCCAGAGGCCGAAAACAGCGAAAAACCTCGCGTCGTGTTTTTTTCATGACTCGATGGGGTCTGGGTCTCCCGCACGGTCTCCTGCACTCCCGCAGGGTCTCTCGTATGCCCCCCTGTACTGCATCCCGCACGGTCCCTCGGTGTTGCGTGCAGCCTCCCGCATATTGGTCGCCCGCGTGGTCTCCCGTGCGGCCGCCCGCATAGCTTCCCCGCATGCCTTCTCTCATGTGGGCACTCGCTTGAGCACTCGTTACAGGGCAGTTTGTAGTACATGGGACTTTTAAACATATAGGATGTTTAATACATGGCTAGTTTATGAATAAATGTATGCATGAACTCATCGTTGTTTTTAATACTAAATCCCTGCATGTTTCATACATGATCCGCACGCGGAGTATGTATTGAAAACGGCACTGTGTCGTCTTCTTCACACTCCTTTGCACTCTCGATATATGCATGCCATACCTTGCACTGCAAAGAGATGCTTGGAGCCTTCGGCCGCCAGGAGTGAACTCAGGGTGTGAACCCAGAATACAAAGTCGGTCGGAAGAAGTAAGCAAAAACATGAAGCAGGGAGGCGGATGAAGTAGCTTGGGTCCAGGCCCTCCCAGAGAATAATGAAACACGGCGAAAGCAGATCGGTACTTGATGTAAAAAGGCACTAGAAGTAGATTGGGACCTGGAAATCCAAAAATGCATACTTACCGTCGTGTAAAGTCCCGATCACCAGCGGTCATCCCGGACGATCGCCTGCGGGGCGGGGGTCCTGCGCGGACCCTCTGCAGCCACTGGCCAACCACCACGCAGAATACGAAATGGTGGTTAGGCACGTGTTGGGGAGCCTGTATAGAAGAAGAAATCAGCGCAAACATACGCTGTCGGAGCTCCGCGCGCTTTTCCCGGATCGACGCTGGACCCCCCTGGCGGCGCCTTCACCCCTGGCGCGCTCCGCGCGCCAGGGAGGGGGGCCTGGCGCCAATCCAAGAAATCCACGCGGACCTGCGGAAGCGTGTGTTCATGCCGACGTGCCTTTTTCGACTGCAACGGCACAGGCAGACAGCAGCAACCACCACCACACTGACCACCAAAAGCCGCTCATTCAAAGACTGGGCTGGGTGACGAACCCAGAACACCGGCGCCACGTTTCACAGCTTGTGGCATCCGAAACCTGGATAGCCGGGAACTCCGAAGCGCAGAGAACGCCTGTTGGAAACGCTTGCGAGAACGCTCAAAAGGATCTCCAGGGAGCTTGCAGGGTCGAGAGAGAAGCTCCGCAGCAGCTCCCAAAGAAGCAAAGAAGGAGCCGCGGAAAGGCTTCCCGAAGACGTGCTATAGGAACGAGTAGGGAAACGCTCTCGGGATACGCTGCGAAATTTCGAAAAATTGATCGGGGATCGTCTGACCCGGGTCAATCCAGACCCGGGTCAGTCAGGCCTTGTAGAATCCTGCAAAATCCTGCAAGATCCTGCACCCAAACCCAGGTCAATGCGAAAGAGCCTGCAAGATCCTGCAGGATCCTGGACACAAACCCGGGTCAATGCGACCGTGGCCCTGCAGGATCCTTCAAGATTCGGCGCTCTGGCTGACCCCCGTTTGCATTGACCCCCGTCTCTTGAGCCCCGAAATTGCTGCGACGCTGCCTGACCGGCCCGCGAGGGCCCCCCGGAGGCAAAGGCTGGACAGACCCACTCCGTCGTGATTTGTTGCCTCGGCGCGAGGTCTGGTCTTCGGGTCATACAGCGGAAGCTAGTCTTAGAAAACCCAGGGTTCGCTGGGGACTGGTTCCCCCCACAAAACGAAAACCCTTCCAAAATCCTTCCGAAACCCTTCGAAAGCATCCAGGAACCCTTCAAGGAGGGTTTTCGGGGGGTCTCGGGAGGGTTCCGGCTGTTTTGGAAGGAAACCAGTCCCTAGCGAACCTGGACTGTCTAAGGCTGGTCCACGAGAAGCCTCCCACAAAAAACCCAGCCCTGAGACCCCAGGACGTCCATGGATTGTTTGGTGTGGGGACGCCGCGCCCTCCCTCGCAAAAGCATCGAAGCCCAAGAAAAACCCTGGGCACCCCAGAGGCAAACGGAGTGTCTAAAGGGAAATTAGGACACACAAATAAATACACACAAATAAAAATAGAACCCATATTTTCCCATATTTTCTGGGTTTTTGTCTTCCCCCCCAATTCCCATATTTTCCCATATTTTCCTGGGAGTCGAGGATTAATTGTGTCTGTGTGTTTTTTCCCCTCCTGAGTGTCTCTTGGCACGGGCCTCCACTGCAACCTTGCCATCGCTCGGACGCTGGTTCCCCGTGCCTCGGGCTCGGCTTCGCGCGTGGCACCTTCTCTTCTGTGCTCGAGGATCCAGGATGCTCCCCAGTGGCCCTCGAGGAGCATTTTTTGTATGGGAACAGAAAGTGGCACAAACAGAAAAACTCGGAGGTCCGCGCGGATTCCTCGGATCGGCGCTGGGGCCCCCCGGCGGCGCCTCCAGCGCCGCCCCTGGCGCGCTCCGCGCGCCAGGGAGGGGGGTCCAGCGCCGATCCGAGAAATCCGCGCGGACCTCCGACTTTTTATGTTTATGTCAATTGTTGTTCCCATATTTTTTCCCCTCCCGGATAACGGTCGTTACCTGGGGGGTTGGGGAGTCGGGCGGGAGGGTCACGGTAACGGCGGCCGCGGTGTGCACCCGCCAAGGTGCACTCCGCGCCACCGGCGCATCCATCGCCTGCGCGAGGGGGGGGGGCTCTGGCCCGGGCAACTCGGGGGCGGCCAAAAGGGGGGCGTCCAAGAGGGGGGGGGGGGGCGAATCATGGCCGGCGGCATGTGCGCGGCCCAAGGGGGGGCCAGGGACGTAATGGAACAAGAAGCGGCGCCACAAAATCTGGAAAAGCATCGTGGCCCACGCCGTGATGCCCACCCCCCCTATAGTCATCACCCCCCTCCTCGCCGCCCCCGGAGTGGCGAGCGTTACGCTGGGCCAGGGAGGCGATGCCAAGCAGCTCGGGCCTGCCGCCGCCGCTCGGGCCGACGCGGCGGGCACCGCCCCGCGCGCTCTCGGCGAGGCGCGGCCGCGGGGGACAACCGCCCCGAGAGGCGGGCAGCCCGCGGGGAGCCGACGAGGGCCTCCGGGAGCCACCGAGAAAGACGCCGACGGCACGGGCGAGGGCCCCCCGAGGGGCAGAAAACGGGCAGAGATCTCTCTATACCAGCGCGCTCCACCACTCGCAGGGCAGCTATGGCAGGTTCGTGTCGTGCCGACCCCAGCGTTGGTTTCTGACACCGCAGGGATCGTTCAACCTTGAACGATCGGCCGCTGCCGCAACGTCCGATCGTTCAACATCGATCGATTCTGGGTCGCCGGCGGCGTTCAACCTTGAACGCCCGCGCTGGGGTCGCCGCTGGTCGACACGACGCAAACCTACCGTACTCGCAAATGGCCTGGATCGGCCGCAGGAGGTTCACGATATGTTACACAGAGGCAGACGTATGGCTTCTAGAATGTTTGCGAGTGGGCACTTGTGCGAGTAGTGGAAGGCGCTCGGGGAATCTCGACGGACAGCATCGGAGAAGAAAAAAATCCATAAACATCAACTTTTGGCGCTCCACGCGGATTTCTTGGATCCGCGCCTCGGCCCCCCCCCCCCCCCCCGGAGGCGCCTCCGGCGCCGCCCCTTGCGCGCTCCGCGCGCCAGGGAGGGGGGTCCAGCGCGAATCCAAAAATCCGCGAGAAGCACCAAAACATGTGGTTTCTCCCTCTTCTTCTACAGAAGACGATCGTGAACTCTTCGGAGCGCGAGGAGGCCTCGAGAGACGCAGCAGGGCGGCGAGGAGGCAGCTCCCGAGGGGCAACGTTAGGGGGGTGGGCCGGCTCAAGGGGGAAGCATCGAGCTGGAATCGGCGATACATTCGGGTCGGGCGAAAGGGGGGGATAGCAAAGGGGGGGTTTGAGAATCAGCTCACGTAGCTGATTTTCCCGGCGCCTCCCGGCGCCGGAGGCGGCTATGTATCGAGGAATGGGCCCCTCGGTGAGGCCGAAACCAGCTGCATGCAGCAAATTTCGTAACCCCCCCTTTCCCAATCCCCCCCTTTCGCCCGGCCCGATACATGGCCGGTAGAACGGCGACAGGCCACTGATATCGAATCCGCACAATTCCTGGCCGGGGTGGGCCATCGGGCCCCTGTCGGCGATCAGCTTCAGACACCCGACACGGGTACGGGACACTGGGCATGCTGCCCAACAACGCATGTTGTCCAAAGCCGGCAGCGGCCACTGTTGGGCAAGCGGCCTCCTGTCTCAAATGGACAGCGTCCGAGGCGACACCGACAGCGAGCCCTGCTCAAAATGATCGGGAACTGTTGTCGGCGTTTGTGCCCATTCTCTCTTTCCGTACTCCAGATTTCGTAATAAAGGGAGGGGGGTCTCATTTCGGGGGGGGGGGTCTCTTCCAGGCCATCTTGGAGGGCCTGGGGGGTCTGGGGACGATGTTTTGGAGGGTTCTCCCACGGGGGGAGGTCTGAAATGGCTTGTCTTGGAGGGTCCAGAAATCCTCCCTTTTGTTACGAAATCTGGAGTACCTATTCCGATCGTCCCGATCCATGGGCCATGGGCGGTCGGAAGTCCATGCATCCCCCCCCCGGGGCCCTGAGATCCGACGCTGCAGAGACAAGAGACCGCGGCCAGACCCCGGGGGCCCCCATCTTTCCGCGTCGTCTCCTGAGCCGGATCGACCTGTGAGGGTCCCGGGCCCCGAAATTGAGCGAAGAGGCCAGGCTCGACAACATTGGGTCACCAGGATCGCAGGGGGCATGTGCTTGGGTCGGGCATGTCCCCCTGCACGCCGATTTTGGACAACAAATTGAAAGTTCTCCAAAAACCATCAAAAATAGTCAGTAGTCAAGAAATCGTTCCCAGACTACTCTTTCACTATTTTTGAGCAATCCTCCTGTAGACGGACATGCCAAACCTAAGCATATGCCCCCTTTGGACGCCCGAAATGGGTATGGAAAGGATGGGTACAATGCCCAGCAACAAATGTTGTCCCAAACCACCAGCGGCCGCTGTTGGGCGGCAGGCCTCCTGTCTCGAATGGACACAGGCCGCGGCGGAGCGGACAGCGAGTCCTGTTCAGAATGGACAAGAACTGCTGTTGGGCATCGCACCCATTCTTTCCCTACCCATTTCGGGCGTCCAGACCCCCGAGTTCTGCGCGGCACTGGCCGGAGGCCAGCCCAGTAGTCAAACATGCCCAACCTGAGCACTATGCCCAACCTGAGCATTTGGAGGCCTCCTAGATGGGGTCCGAGTAGATGGGGTCGAAGGATCGCGCCGCATCGGCGATACATCGGCGATGCATCGGCGATGTACTGGCGATGCATCGGCGATGCATCGTCGGCGTCGGCGATGTTTCGGCAACGTCGACGTGAAGCACGTCGGGCTCCACATCGAGCCGCATCGGCGATGCATCGGCGATGCGGAGCGATCCTTCGACCCCATCTACTCTAGGGCTCCCAACTTCGCGCTTCGCGCTGCGCGAAGCGCGAAGCGCGAATAACTTCGCGCTCTCGCGCCGCCCCCCCAAAGGGAGAAAAGGAGGACGAGGAGGAGGGGGAGAAGGAACGAGGACCGCGAAGCGCGAACCGCGAATAACTTCGCGCCCTCGTGGGAGCCCTTGCATCTAGGAGGCCCAGTGCATTGTGCCCCCCCCGAGCTCGCAAGCGCGGCAGTGGCGCCAGCCCGGGCGCCTGGCCGCGGAGCTCCGACCTGGCCCCCGGGGCGAGCGCGGGTATCGCCTTTTCGGGGCCGCGGGCGCGGGCTCCGGCCCTCGGCCTCCCGCTCTCCCCGGGGGCCCCTGCTCCCAGGGCTCGGGGCTGCGAGCTCCCAGACCCCCGACCCCCTCGAGAATCATGAAAAGATCACGGCGCGAGGTGTTTCGCTATGGTCGGCCTCCGGGGGCCCTTTACTGGCCCTCAGGACCGTCAAAAACGGCCTCGGGATGAAAAGCGGGTCCCGGGGAAGTGGTCGGGAGGTCGGAGGCCCGCGTCTCGAAAAAATCGAGACGTCGGACGTCTGGGGCTGCAACCCAGGCCCGCGGCTCGGAGCTCGGAGCTCGGAGCTCGGAGCTCGGAGCTCGGAGCTCGGAGCTCGGAGCTCGGAGTTCGGGGCTCGGGCACTCGGCGCGGAGGCGGCGGGCCCCACAAGGGAGGGGCACGGGGGGATGGATGGGCCCAGCGCACACGCCAGGACTCTGGCCAGCCATCCGCGAGCCAAACTCGCAAGCCGAGGGTGGCGGCCGGGGAGGCCCGTTCCCGGGCACACTTTTGCAAGGCACACGTCGGAACGTAGTGCGGTCCGGAAAGGGCTCTCGGGGTCCAACGACGAAACTGGATAAATCTGCAGTCCGGGGGGGGAGGGAACAGAGGGGTGGGTGAAGTGAGAGAGCGTTTTGATGTCGGCATCTGCCTCCAGCGCTTCGGGTGCCGCCCCATGGCGCGCATCGAACGCCAGAGCGGGGGGTCTGGCGCCGATCCAAGAAATATGCGCGGGCCTCCGAAAGTTTAGCTGTATGGCGCCATTTACTTCTGAGGGTTTGGCACGCGTCTTCACCAAATGAATTGCATATGGCATGCGGTTATGAAGCGTACCCCCCTCCTCCTCCCCCCCTCCTCCTCATCCTCCTCCTCACCCTTTTCCGCCTCCTCCTCCTTTTTCCTCCTTGTCCTCCTCCTTGTCCTCCTCCTCCACCACCTCCTCCTCCTCCTCTTCCTCCTCCGTTTTCTCCTCCGCCTCCTCCTTCTCATCCCCCTCCTCCTCTTCCTCCTCCACTTTGTCCTCCACCTCCTCCACCTCCTCCTTCTCTTTCTCCTCCTCCTCCTCCTCCTCCTCCTCCTCCTCCTCCTCCTCCTCCTCCTCCTCCTCCTCCTCCTCCTCCTCCTTTCCTCCTCCGACGGCAGGCGCAGCAGGTCCACTCCTGGGTATGCTCCGGCTGATCCGAAACTTGGGCTCGCGGGTTTCCTCATCTCTCTGTTCATCTGGATGCTCCTACATGTGTGATCAAGGCAACCCGCCTGGCGGTCGGGATGGGTTGCTGGGGATACGTTTTCCGTCGCGGCCGCAAGCGGAAACGCAGGCGGCGTCCGAAATCAGCCCGGGCTACGAGCCAAACCTAATTACCTAACCGCGCGAACCAACGGCCGCCGAAACTGCCGCCGAGGGGCGCCGAGGAGCGACGCCGAGGACTGGAGGCAGAGTTGCAAGAGGTGCCAAGTGTGCCCGGCGGCTGAACTGCAACCATTCCAGTGGCGAGACCACCCGGAAGGCAACCGAATTGTACCTTGTCGCGCCAGGCGCCAGAGGTACACGAGCCACCCGAGCAAAGCACGGCATAGCGTGGGGCTGAGCAAGCAGCCCAGCGCACCTGCGTCGCATGACAACAGTGGCAACCTCAGGTGGTTGAACAAGAAGGCTAAACCACTCATGAGCAATCCACGTGGAGGTTCATCCCACCGCTGCAGCTGTTGAAGATACTTTTTTTGGTCGCGGGCGGACGCGGATTCGCTGTCGCCGAACTGAGAGGTCGGGGCCACGGGCCTGCCAAATGCTGTTGAAGACACTTTTTTTTTACAACCGCGGGCGGAAGCGCCAGCGGCGGCGGGTAACGGTCGGGCTGCGGCCGCTACAAATTGGCCAGGGGCGCGCGCGTGCCGCGGCCGGCGCCGGGCGGCGGGTGCAAGGGTGCTGCTGCCCAGGGAGTCTGATGGCGAAACCAGCACCCAGGGAGAAGTAATTACGCTGCCAAAGTGGCGCGATGCAAGACCCCCACCGTGTCAGAGGCTACAGAACAAATGCGGGCTGTTGAGGATACGCGAAGCATCAAGAATTTGAAGAGCAACGGCAGCCCCGAACAGGTGCACGACGTGCGTGTGGGGCCCAGCGAAGAGACCAACCAGAGCATGCTGGCTGTCCCGCATCGGTGAGGGTCTGAGCACAAGCTGCGTAAAGAGATGAGTGCCGCCACAAACACGATACGGTGGCTACGATCCTGCGGTGCGGTCGGGCATATCGGAAAGGGAGGCACGGTCATGCGGTGAGTCGAGTGGCGCAGTGGACACTGACCACCAGGCTCTACTCGGGGGAAAAGAATCCTTCCCACTGCGGGCCCCCGTCGCGAAGCCGATTCGGGAGGCACGACTCTAAGGATCAAACCCAAGCGCCAGACCTGGCCCCCTACATATAGAGAGAGAGAGAGAGCGAGAAAAAAAAGGAGAAGAGCAGGAGGAAGTGGCAGAGGAGAACGTGGACGAGGACAATGACGAGAAGCTTGACCACGAATGCCAATGTTCGAAAAGGCGGCACCTGGTAAGACTAAACCAGGACAAGGACTTATCGGAGAGGTATAAATCGGGAATCTCTGGGATCCAGCGGTTCTGGAAAATGTATCGGGCGCCGCGGCATTCCCAAAGCTTTACGAAACGCTCTGGAACGATGTATCCCTGTCCTACCCCCGCCCGGCTCGGGCCGGGCTCAGAATGCGCACGCACGCTGCCGGCTCCCCCTCCTCCTCCTCCTGCTCCTCCTCCTCCTCCTCCTCCTGCTCCTCCTCGTCCTCCTCGTCCTCATCCTCCTCTCCTCCTCTTCCTCCTCCTCCTCCTCCTCCTCATCATCAGTATCAGTATCAGTATCATCATCATCATCATCATCATCATCATCATCATCATCATCATCACCACCACCACCACCACCATCATCATCATCATCATCATCATCATCAACGCTGCGCTGCGAAAGAGGCAAACCCGCTCGCCTGCGGCACCGTCTGCAAGCACCAGAACTTGACCTAGCCAGGCACGTGCGAACAGTGCGCTTTGATGACGGCGCATGGTGATGGTGGGGGCATCGTGACGATGGTGATGGCGGTGGTGATGGCCTCGGCATAGGCGATCCGAGCTCATGCTGAGCGTTTAACCGAGCCCAGCCAAGTATCAGCACGCACGCTCCTTGAACTCCTCAAGCGATTTACAATCGATGTCCCAAAAACTCGTCTCTTGACATCTCCGTCACCTGTATGGGCCATCGCAGATGCCGTGAGCCAGAGCACTAGCACCGCTGCCAACGACACTCACAAATGACACCAGTGATTAACTATTGCCATCGACGTCACCTCTGTGTACACATGTACGCAGTCGTGATGAACCTGATGAACATCATAGTGGTAACGATGGTCCGTCCGAACAATGTCACATGTAATAGTGTTGCCCTCTTTTCTTCGGCCAGCAAATGCGGGTTGCTGTCTGCAATATACTTGTTCCAGCGGTGGGCGCAAAGGGAGTACATATGAGGTGTGTGTGACGGTCGTCATAGTAACCGAGGTGCGGAGGACATGGATATGGTCTTTCCAGGTGCTCTTCCTGCCACGCAAAGGCTCAAATAGCCCCTCGAACCAAAAAACGTTCGCCACTGCAGCGAAAATGGAACGAGTACGATCAAATGCAAAAGCGAGGTGTAAAAAGCAATTTCCACACAAGCAGATAGAACACGGCGTAAGACAGAGGAGACGCAGAACGGGCAGCTAGGCTGCCAACATCGCCGTTGGATCGGACAAGGAAGAGGAAGCGAGGAGGAGGAATACGAGAAGAGGAAGAAAGTCATTCGAGCCCAGTGCTACAGCGAGAGAGGGCCTTCTGAAAGTAAATCGCTGACACACTCACCCCTACTGAGATAGGGCAACTGGCTACATAGCCTGAACGGGGACCTCGGCTGTCTACAAGTAAAAACAAGGCTCAGGACTCATCAAGGCCACACTTGCACTCACGCCCAGACGACCCGAGAGAGCATCAAAAGAGCTTCAAGTGTCCATAATCTTACCCTGAGAAGGCCCCAAGAAAGTCTGAGAGAGACGCAAGGGCGTGGGCCAGTCCCTGACAGGCCCGAGGGTGGCCCCAAGATGGCCCCATAGGACCCCAATATGGCTCATCCGAGACAGACCCAATGGACTTCAAAAGTCCAAGTCTGCCGAAGAAGCCCACATCTACGCGATCACCGTGTTGTCCATACCCCGACTCACGCCCCAACCCACCGAGGGACCTCCGTGGGGGCATGGATAAAGGTCGGGCCGCTGGAAGCTAAGCTTTATCCATGTTCTACCGGCATCGGCCGTCCAGAGTTGGAGGCAGTAATAGGGGTATGGGTAAAGCTTCGACAGCCGAGCCTCTGAGGCCTCCAGAGAAGTCGACGTCATAGTAACCACATGCTGTATGTGTGTAGATGCGGTCGGCAGTGTCGCCGCTGGGGGCTCCAACTGATTCCTCTGGCCCAGGGGTGGTCCCAAGATGGACCCACGATGACCCAGGAGAGCCCTCAGAGGACTCCAAGATAGCTCCAACATAACAACGACTACCAACAAAAACCGCGAATGAATACAACAGCAGAGCGCACAATCAGTACAAAGGCAGAGAGAAGAAGGAGGGCAGTTCATGGCAGACATCAGCACGGCGCCCAGAAGCGCAAAGGCTTCCCGAAATGGCCCGCACATGTTCAATACCGCCCAACGGGCCTCAAAGAATGCCCCACATGGCTGAAGAAGCCCCGTTCGGAGGCGGCGGAGGGCAAGGAGGGCAGGGAAAGGAGAACGAGCAGCCAGGTGCTCCTTTCGAAACGAGGATCCTGAACAGACGACCTTTGCCACTCCTACTGCATCTGACACTACACTCAGACCGCTGGCCGAGCAGGGCTCGGTCCGACCATCCTTTCTCGTATACCCTCGAGCAGGCGTGTAAAGGCCTGTTGCGGCGAAGCAAGACCCTGGACCCGACCAATGGTGGTCGGGATGGTGAGGGTGATGTGGTGAACGCGATGGTGGTGGCGATAGTCATGGAGGAGGAGCCTGAAGACCAAGCATGCTCAGAACATCAAACATACGCCCGTCACAACGAAATGACATGGCACGACCCGTCCTCCTACGCAAGCGCCGAGTACCAAGCAGGTCCGCATGTGATCACTCAGCATGCCAAGGTACGCACGATCATGCCATCACCTGCCGCTTGGAAATTGCCGAGCGCGCTGAGAACGAATGTCAAGTTCCTTGCACCACAACTTTGACTGGAAGCGTGGACGAACGATCTGGCAGCAAATCTCAGAAAGAGAAGCGGCACGCCTGCAAGCAGTTGCTATGCAGGAACTGGTCCCAGCAGACTCGCCAGCCATCGGGCCGACTCTTAATAGCGTCGCAGAAGGTGTTGGCCTGATCGCCGGGCAGCAGGCAGATGGAACGCGTTCCACGTTCGAAGGAGAGGCCAAACAATATCCTCCCTCTCTCGCTCGATCTCTTTCTCTCTCCCGTCACCCGCTTCCGTGTCTGTCGTCCTCTTATCCGTTGGCCTTCCCTCTTCTTCGCAGATTCCTACTTCGAATACACCGTCTCATCCTCAACCACACCTCCTCAAGACTCATCCTCGTTCTTCTGCTCCTAAGTCTCCTCCTCCTTGACCTAACCACCCACACCAACCAGCCATCATCATCATCATCATCATCATCAGCATCAGCATCATCATCATCATCATCATCATCATCATCATCATCAGCAGCAGCAGCATCATCATCATCATCATCATCATCATCATCATCATCATCAGCATCATCATAAACATCATCAGCATCAGCGGCATCATCACCCTCATCGTCAGCACCATCGTCATCATCAGCATCACAAGCAGCATCATCAGTATCATCAGCATCACCATCGTCATCATCAACATCATCAACATCATCAGCATCATCAGCATCATCGGCATCGTCATCAGCATGATCATTAGCAGCAGCAGCAGCATCGTCAGCATCATGATCAACATTATCAACAGCATCATCGTCATCAGTTGCATCATCATCAACACCATCAGCATCATCAAAATGACCCTCATCATTGCTCCATCATCACCACCATAATCAGCATCAGCGTCATCATCATCATCATCAGCATCATCATCATCATCATCATCATCATCGCCTGCATCAGCATCAGCATCCTCATCATCATCGTCATCGTCGTCGCCGTCGTTGTCGTCATCGCCATCGTCATCATCATCATCAGCAGCATCATCAGCATCATCATCAGCAACATTGCTAACACCACTACTATGGTCGTCATCATCAGCAGCAGCAACATCATCATCCTGCGTATCCTCATCCGCGTCGGCATCATCATCAGCAGCATCAGCATCACCAGAATCATCATCATAATCATCAGTATCGTCATCATCATCATCATCATCATCATCAGCATCATCACCATCATCGACATCGTCGTCAGCATCATCAGCATCATCAGCATCATCTGCATCATCATGCTCGTCATAATGAGCATCAGCATCACAGCAGCACCCGCATCATCACCAGTAGCATCATCGTAATCAGCAGCGGCAGCGTCGGCTTCATCATTTGTATTACCATCACCATCACCAATCATCATCGTGGTTGTCAGCGTCATCGCCACCGTAACCAACATCAGATCATGATTATCAACAACACTACCATCGCCACCATCACCAGCACCACATGATCACCAACAGTCATAATCACAACCGCCACCACCATCATCACCATCATCAGCATCACCATCATCATCATCATCATCACCGTCACACGTATCATCATCAGCAGCAGCAGCAGTATCATCATCAACAGCAAAGTCGTCGTCATCATCATCCTTGCCGCCACCATCAGCATCATCGTCATCGCCATCGTCATCCTCATAGGCATCATCAGCATCATCATCATCATCATCAGCATCATCATCATCATCATCACGATCATCATCACTCTCATCATCATCATCATCATCATCATCATCATCAGCATCATCATCATCATCAGCATTATGATCATCATCATCGGCAGCATCGTGGCCAGTATCAGTTATCACCACCACCATCAGCCTGACCATCCTCATCAACACCACCATCAGCAGCAACAGTCTAGCCATCGCAATCGTCATCATCATCATCACAGCATCATCAGCAGCGTCATCATCAGCAGCAGCATCAGCATCATCATCTGCATCATCAACATCATCATTATGATTATCAGCATCCCCATCTTCATCGTCATCACCATCGCGACCATCACCATCATCCTTATCATCACTCGAGTCCCCACTCTCATCATCATCATCACCACCACCACCATCATCAGCAGAAGCGGCATCATCATCATCATCATCATCACCATCATCATCACCACCACCAGCATCGTCATCATCATCACCAGCTCATCATCACGCTCAGGATGTTACAAATGCCGACGGCCACGAGCCGATCAGCAGAAGTTCGAGCGCGAGGTGTTGCTCCTGTTCGCCGAGGGCGCCTGGCTTCCACAACGGCTGGGGGAACGCATGGTCCAATAGCGTGGCCAAAATTTGCCCAACCGTTTAGCCTCGCAGTCGTATCCTAACAAGCAGAAAACAGAGAGACTCGCCGTAAGTAGGCGTCTTCGAAATAGAGCACGTGCAAGAACAATTGGACCATGTGTCAAAATGCATGTGGTGGCGGGTGGAGAAAAAAGAGTGTGGTCAGGGCAGAGAAGGGAATCGTATGAACATTCGTCATGAATCACCGCAGAGATTGCAGGCGCGCGCCTGAGCGCGAACATCCGGGGAGACCGACTGACCTGCCGGGGACCCAGCTCACTCCATGCGTTCCCCAGGGAGAGGGGGAAAGGGGGAGGGGCATGAGGAGGAGGAGGAGGGAAGGGGAAGAGAGGAGGAGGGGGAAGAGCATGGGACAGCAGAGACAAGGGGCATGTGGAGGAGAAGGAGGAGGAGGAGGAGGAGGATTGAGGATGACAACGGCGACGAGCCTACTCCAGCCCCTCCTCAATCTCCTCTCCCGCCCCCTCCTCTCCATACCCTCCTCGCTCGCCTCCACCTCCTCTCTCTCCATTCTTCCTTCCTTCCTTCATTCCTCCTCCTCCTCATCATCATCATCATCCTCCTCATCCTTCGCCTCGTCCCGCTATTCTCCCTCCAATTTCCACCTCCTTCCCCTCCTCCTCCTCCGCCTCCTCCTCCTCTTCCTCATGCTTCTCCTCCTCCTCTTCCTCCTCCTCCTCCTTCTCCTCCTTTTTACCTCCTGCTCCTCCTCCACCTCCTCCTCCTCCTCCTCCCCCTCGTCCACCTCCTCCTCCTCCTCCTCCTCCTCCTCCTCCTCTTCCTCCTCCTCCTCCTCCTTCTCATCCTCCTTCTCATCCTCCTCTTCCCCTCCGCCTCATCCTCCTCCTCATTCCTCCTCCTCCTCCTCCTCCTCCCTCCTCCTCCTCCTCCTCCCTCCTCCTCCTCCTCCTCCTCTCCTCCTACCACTCCTCCTCCTCCTCCTCCTCTTCTCCTCCTCATCCTGATCCTCCCCCTCCTGCTCATCCTCCTCCTCCTCCTCCTCCTCCTCCTCCTCCGCCTGGTCCTCCTCCTCCTCCTCCTCCTACTACTCCTCCTCCTCTTCCTCCGCCTCCTCCTCCTCCACATCCTCAGCCTAATCCACATCCTCCTCCTCATCCTCATCCTCCCCCTCCTGCTCCTCCTCCTCCTCCGCCTTCTCCTCCTCGTCATCATCACCACCACCCACCACCACAACATCATCATCATCATCATCATCATCATCATCATCATCATCATCATCATCATCATCATCATCCTCCTCCTCCTCCTCCACCACCCCTCCTCCTCCTCCTCCTCCTCCTACTCCTTCTCATCATCCCTCTCATCATCATCATCATCATCATCATCATCATCATCATCATCAGCATCATCAGCAGCATCATCATCATCATCATCATCACCACAACCACCACCACCACCACCATCATCATCATCATCATCATCATCATCATCATCATCAGCATCGTCATCAGCATCAGCATCAGCATCAGCATCAGCATCATCATCATCATCATCATCATCATCATCATCATCATCATCAGCATCACCATCATCATCATCATCGTCATCATCATCATCAGCATCAGCATCATCATCAGCATCATCATCATCAGCATCATTATCATCATCATCCGCCTCATCCTCATCAGCCTCATCAGCATCATCATCATCATCATCAGCAACATCAACATCAACATCAACATCATCATCATCACCTTCATCATCATCATAATCATTATCATCATAATCACCGTTAGCATCATCGGCATCATCATCATCATCATCATCATCATCATCATCAGCACCACCATCAGCATCGGCATCAGCATCAGCAGCAGCATCACCGTCAGTATCAGCAACATCGTCAGCAGCCTCATCATCAGCAGCATCATCATCCATCATCCTCGTCATCATCATCAGTATCACCATCACAACCACCAGCATCATCATCATCAGCAGCATCATGAGCATCATCAGCATCATCACCAGCACCACCACCACAATCACCACCACCATCATCATCAGCATCAGAAGCATCATCAGTATCACCAGCATCATGACAATCAGCGTCATCGTCGTCATCAACATCATCAGCATCATCATCATCATCATCAGCATCAGCACCATCACCAGCATCACCATCACCATCACCATCATATTCATCATCATCATCAGCATCAGCATCAGCATCAGCATCATCATCATCAACATCATCATCATCAATCATCAACCATCAATCATCATCATCATCATCATCATCATCATCATCATCATCATCAGCATCATCATCATCATCATCATCATCATCATCATAGTCATCATCATCATCATCATCATCCGCAGCATCACTATCATCTTCCTCATCATCCGCATCGCCTGCATCATTAATATCATCAGCTGCAACGGCATCACCAGCATCATCACCAGCGTCTTCACAATCATCGTCAGCCGTATCAGCCGCCGCAACAGCTTCAACCGCATACGCATCAGCGTCAGCATCCGAATCAGCAGCATCATAACCATCATGATCATCATCAGCATCATCTGCATCCTCATCATGACAATCAGCATAATCATCAGCATCAACATCAGCATCATGATCAGCACCATCAACATCAGCATCATCATCAAAAGCATCATCGGTGGCAGCCTCGTCAACAACATGATCATGATCAGCTTTATCACCATAAGACTGAATAGCATGAGCATCGTCAGCATCATTCCCATCATCATCATCATCATCATCATCATCATCATCATCATCAGCTTCATCATTAGCATCAGCATCAGCATCATCAGCATCAGCATCAATATCATCATCAGCATCAGCATCCGCATCATCCCCAGCATCTTCATCATCATCAGCAGCAGGAGAAGCAGCATCCTGCTCCTCAGCATCATTAGCATCAACGTCATCAGCAATCATCATCATCATCATCATCATCATCATCATCATCAGAATCAGCATCATAATCAGCACCACCGACATCATCAACAGCATCATCGGCATCAGCAACATCTGCATCACCAGCATTATTATCATCATCATCATCATCATCATCATCATCATCATCATCATCAGCATCATCATCATCATCCCCATCATTTGAAAAAATCGGCACCATCACCATCACCCGCATCACCATCATCACCATCAGCACCATCATCATCATCATCATCATCATCATCATCATCGTCATCATCATCATCATGACCCTCATCATCACCACCATCATCATCATCCACATCATCATCATCATCATCATCAGCAGCATCAGCATCATCATCATCATCACCATCATCAGCACCATCATCACCATCATCATAATCAGCATCATCATCGGCAGCATCATCATCATCATCAGTATCATCAGCATCATCATCATCAGAATCATCATCAGCATCATCAGCATCATCAGCACCATCATCAGCATCATCATAATCATCAGCACCATCACCATCATCATCATCAGCATCAGCATCATCATCATCCGCAGCGTCGCCAGCAGCGGCGACGGCGTCATCATCAGCATCAGCATCAGCATCATCAACATCAGCATCATCATCAGAATTATCAACATCAGCATCACCATCATCATCAACCGGAGCATCACCAGCCTCATCATCATCATCAGCATCAGCATCATCAACATCGTCATAAACAGCATCATCATCATCATCAGCATCATCGCCGTCATCAGAATCGTCATCAGCATCCTCATCATCATCATCATCAGCAGCAGCATCATCATCAACATCATCAGCATCTTCGTCACAATAAGCATCATCATCGTCATCATCATCAGCAGCATCAGCATCATCATCAGCATCTGCAGCAGCATCCTCATCAGCATCATCATCGTCATCATCATCATTAGCAGCATCGTCATCGACAGCCCCATCGTCAATATCAACAATATCACCACCGTGATCGACAGCATCATCATCGTCATCAGCATCATTATCATCATCAGCTTCCTGAGCATCATCAGCATCGTCATCAGCATCAGCATCATAATCAACATCAGCAGCAGCATCATCAGCAGCATCAGCATCATCGCCGTCATCGCTATCATCGCCATCATCAGCAGCAGCATCAGCATCATCACCATCATCACCAGCATCATCACCTGTATCATCATCATCATCAGCAGCAGCAGCATCATCAGCATCATCAGCATAAGCATCATCATAAACAACAGCATCAGCAGCATCACCATAATCATCAGCATCAACACCAGCATCATCATCACAACAACCACGGTATCGTCATCATCAGCATAATCAGCATCATCAGCAGCAGCATCTTCATTGTCATTAGCATCACAATCGTCATCGTCATAACTATCAGTATCATCATCATCATCATCATCATCATCATCATCATCAACAGCAGCAACACCATCATCATCACCACTACCATCACCATTACCATCGCTCGTCCATCCGTCCGTCCGTCCGTCCGTCCACCAGTGGACTAAACCCATCTTGCTCGAGCCGACTGGTGCGTAGAGGTGGAGCTGCAGGTGACCTTGAGGTGGCTGCGGGAGGCCTGCAGGGCGGCGGATCGCCGCTCGAGTGTCTGCCACAGCTTGGAAGGCCTGGGCTCGGCAGAGTGCGAGCAACCTGGCCAGGCGCCTCAGGAAGGAGCGCGCCCTGCAGACCATCAAGTCGCTGGTGGACGAGGCCGTGCATTCGGCGATGGCCAGCATCGACCACCCGCCCGCGGCCGCCGCGGAGCTCGGGGGGGAGGAGGCGCCGGGCCAGGCTGAACTGCTGCACAAGAGGCTCGACCGCATCCTCGGTAGTCACCGCCACCGCCTCGGCGACGCGATGCGGGAGGTGGCCAACTTTACCAGTCTGGAACATATCCCTATCCCTATGCTGGGCATCTCCTCATCACGATGCCAATCTTAGGGATCCCCTTATTGTTTGAGGGCGAATCCCTAAAGACTGTCATCGCCTTTTGGCGTGTCAATCTTAGGGATAGGGATAAGTTCGAGGCTGGTAACAACTTTGTTTACATGCCCGATAAGTCCTTAGAGCAGGTCAAGGCAGCAGGTGATTGTCGCAGACGCGCCCTCGGCTCCTGCCTCGGGCCTGCGCGAGGACGCCCCGGCGTTCCTTCCGCAGGCGGCCTGCTCGGAGCCCCTGGCGATGGGCGTGCGCTGCTGCTGCGGCGCGCACGCGCTCTCGGCTTGCCGCGGCCCGCCCCGCGGGGCCCCGCGCTGCACGGGCA